ATGTGTGAGCGAGTGAGAGCTGATCTTCTCGTCAGCTACACCCATACCAAATTCTGATTTACCCTTATCAAGCAGCTATTTTAGATCACCTAAATAGTTGACAGTTAGAATCGAATAGATATCATTATTTACTATCATCTGCTCTATTTTCAAGTCTTATTTTTCTTAAAGACTGCGTTTAGAAACTTTTTTACGAAAACATTTATTTTTATATCTTTATTTGTATATTTCTATACTATGGCATTAATGTTGAGTAAATCAAAGCTGTTCTGACGTAATAGTAAACTAAATTAATTAGCGTGAACTTGGATAGCTTCTTGTATTAAAACTGATAATCAGTACTAAACGATATTTAAACTCAATGTATTCTATATGTTTCTAACGAATATTATATATATAGGTATAGCTCATAGCTATAAAATCAGTGTATGTTGAAGTATTAACTACAATGGTCCTAAATTTTTGTTCCATTATCTAATTGTGCTAACTATCATCTATTCAATAGTAATGATCTATTATCCATTTCTGAAAATAAGTCGCTTGGGCAGAATTCTTATAACTTTTGAAAGGAAAATGATAGAGACCTGGGATTTTCACCGTTGGATAGAGGACATCAGGACACGTAAGGCTATGTAAAAAAAGATCTGTTATACAAGATACGTGTTTATAACTTTTTAATAAATTTGTCGAAAACCGCTAAAATAGGCTTCAAATTTAGAAATCTGAAACTTTCTTTTTCTCACAGGAAATTCTTCTCTTTCAAAAATGGCAACTTCAACATTTTATCTTGTTGAGTTCAAATGATGCAGAGGCACTGCCTACTATATATCTGATGTGCGAATCAGTTGTATACTGAGGTTAAATCTCAAGAATAGGCATATTTTATGTAATTTTCATCCAAATTTGATGACGCCGATAGCGAGTATTTTTATGGATTGACCCATCGGTTTTTACATAGACTTATGTGCTCTGATGTTCTCTATCAAACGGTAAAAACTGCAGCTCTCTATGACTTTCCCTTCAAAAGTTATAAGAACTCTGCCCAAGCGACTTATTTTCAAAAATGGATAATAGATAGTTCATCTTAATATTCTTTAATAATTATTATATTTATTTGAGTAGAGATTCGTTTAACTTTGAAGCATTATCTCATTTTAAAACACATATTGTTATGTATTGTGCCTATTTTCTTGATTCTCATGAAACAAAAACTCTGAGATTTTGAGCACATACCATTAGTTTCTCTTTTTTTCAAGGAAGACACTACTTCTTTGTGTTCCTATTAAAGTTTTAATTGAAAAAAGTCTTAGAATTATTTCATTAATAAAAAAATATTGAGCCTATTGGAATCCATTTCCGATTATCATAGCATCATTTATATTTTCTTTGACAGTTATAAATTTTCTATCATGATATGTATAATAGTATGACACATTGGTCTTAAAACAATCCATTTTTATAAACAATCTTATCGATATCAAGTTTGAAACTAAAAAATGTAGAATGTAATTCACAATAATATTTTTTTTCACATAAACTGCGACACATCATTCTCGCTAAAAACCTATAGTCAAATTCCTTATTAGTATAAAGAGTAGGTTTTAATGATACGTTATTTGCATTAGTGAAAATGAATCTTGCGTTTCAACTAGAAATGAATTTTTTTTAGAATTATTTTAATTTTCTGTTACTCTTCTCTGCTGTGTAGAATCAGTCTAAAATTTAATTTTGTTTTGAAGTTTAATTATATGTCATTTACATTAAGCTCGAATATTATAACACAATTATATAGCAAATAATAGTGGCAGAATGTTTCATAGAAATTATTTCAGATCAACTAGCACAGATATAATTATTTATCGATCGATGATTTTCTCATTAAAATATGCAGCGCAATTTAATTTTTTATTTCGATACTAAAAATAAATATTAATGTGACTGTGAATAACTAAAAACTTCATACATTATTGATGTAGGATTTAGATCACATAAATAGATATTAGTGAGTGATGTCAGTCGTAGACATGCTTTATGATAGCTTGAAGCATTGCTTCAATTCATAGTTCATGTAAAGAAAGTCACTAACATTAAAGAATTTCGGAAATTTTCATGACTGTTTTTTTCCCAAGATTCAGATATTGATGGTGTAATTGATATAAGTAAAAAACTTATGCAAAGGTAAAAATCAACCAAATGAACTGAAAAAAAATTTAACTTTTGATAATTTCTCAGTTTTTCAAGTTACAATTCGTCATCTCTTGCTTTCACATTTACTTGTATGCAACCAACTAAAAGTATCACCAAATCAAGTCATGAAAAGCATTTATTGAGTTAATGTCTATTTAGATCTAATAGCTATTTCACTCTGTTCACATGTGATTGATTTTCTTTCAATGAGCTGTCAATTGAAGCGATACTGTAAACGATCGTAAAACATATCTATGGTCAATTTTAACCACTAATATTAATTGACATTTTTAGTCATTCAAAGTTAAAGACAAATTTATCTACATTATCGAAATAAAAAATTATTTCTAATTATATATCTTAATGAGAAAATCATGTAACAAATAGATTGCTATTTGTTCTGTAGTTGGACAGAATTAACTTTTAATATAACAACTATATTAATCGTTTCTCATTGCCATTTAGATAATTAGTTTGTGGTGTAATTCTTTTATAGTTAGGAAGATCCAATATTAATTTTTCTTTTCTATACTTTCATAACGTGACGCTATGCAGCCATATATTGAATACGTCAAACACAACTATTTATCATTCCATATAGAAAGAAAACGAATTCCTATTGTATGTGTACATTGCTCATCTAACTGACTGTGCTATAAGAAGAAAATAAATTTATAAGAAAAATGTACATTAGAAAAGAAAAGCATCAAGTATTTGAAATAGTTTTGCTTTTAAAAATAGACATTTTCTATTAGAAAACAAAGTTGTATTTCTGCGTAGACCAAGTTTCTGCTTATGAGAGAGGATCGATTCGATTCAATAATGTTGATAAAAAAATTATCATTACTCCAACTTAAAAAGAAACTATTTTAAAAAGTTCAATTAAAAACACTTTGTAAAATTCAATGATTGAGACTTAATTTTCCTATACTTCGTTTGCTTTGACAGTTAATCATACAGTAAAGAAAAAATTCATTGAATTGGGTCAAAGTATAAAGTCTATTATTTAATTGATTCGTAACATTTCTTTGAGTCACAAGTTTGATTTACGATGACATTGACTTGCTTAATATCTTATGAAATGAATGATCTTTTGTTAAAAAAGCAAATAAAGACTTATTAGACTTATAGATATACTCTGGAATGAAGTAATATAAAAATTCAATTTCTGAGTTCGAAATGAATTTGGTGACTAGTCGAGATTTTCAGAGCTACGTACGGATGACCAGAGATGATTACGGTTCTTTTCTTAATTAAATTGACATCGTTTAGATAAGTATATCGATATGTAAGTTAAGACAAGTAACAATGGAAGTATTCATACAATTTCTTGTCTTTCTTTGTCTAAGAAAAACAAGATTGCTAATAAATCAATTATACTTTTTAGAAAGACAAGTATTTACGTAATAGAGAATTCTTAACTAATTCAATAATTACGATAGATTCTTCTTAATATATCGAAGATATCGCTTCTTCGAACGATCTTTTGATATGGATAGATTTTTATTTTAGGAGCAGGAATTTAGATGACAATCATTCGGCTCGATTTAAATTAACAAAAAAAAACGAGTTAAGCCGATCGTCAAGTGATGTAAGGTTGAGGGTGTGACTAATTGATCATCCCGTAGTTCTGTGATTTTTAGAAAATCGTACTAAAAAAAGCGATTCGGATGCATGTATTTTCCACCCAGCAGACTTCACAGTCATTAGACTATTCTAAAAATCTCAACTCAAACGAATATATGTTTTCTTGAGATATCAAGTGTTGAAGAAAACTTCATTGTATGACTTGCTTTTTGCGCTGAAACTTTTACGGTATTCTGATGCGCATTAACTATTATTAGCCATGTTCTCTCGTAAGTGTGTCTGGAAATTCATTTTAATTTTATTTTCACGAAAAGATCTGTTTTTCTCACTATGTATTGTACGAGACACTCTGAAATGTTCTAATGAAATGTGAATTCTTCTTTTTTGTTAATTTTGTTTTCTTCAATATCCTAAACCCCCTCCCATATTAGAAGCCCCCCGGGGCTTCTATTAGGCCTTGTAAACTTTGGCCGAATTTTGCTGGGAAAAATTGAAAATTTTGCTGGATAGATCCTTTAAAGGGGGCTTCTAATAGGGGGAGGGCTTCTAATGTGGGAGGGGCTTCTATTACGGGGAGGGGTTTACTCAATTCTTTCCGAAGTTAAAACACCTGCTGTCAGATTAATCTAATTAAAAAAAAACAATCACAATTCAAAGAAAAAAGATGAACAACAAAAGAGTATATGATAACGCGTTAGCATTTTGTTTTAATAAAATTCAGCACTCTTTTAATGAGAACAGTTTCAATTCATTATCTATATAGCCAGCATCACCATCACAATTAAATTTTCTCTAGAAAAGAAAGATGATGTTGTAACAAATCAAATATTTTGTTCAATCTAAAAATCATATGAAACAATATCAGAAGCAAGGCTTAAAATAGAGTAGCTATCATGCATGTGTTTATCGATATGTAGATTTAAAACTTATTTACATCGAAATTCTAAATCTTTTTCTAATGAGTTTTTTTTGTTTCTTTGTTTGATCTCAAGTGACAATGTACTTCAAGGTATCCTGAGCTTTTGTCTCTTTATAGAGTCACGATTGTTACCGTGTTGAAAGGTTAAAAAGCGTTTTTTTCTGAACGAGTGTTATGATATTCAACAAACATCTTTAGTCCGATCACTTAAGATGTTCTTATAGATGTGCAACTACTTTTTTCCTTTTTATGCTCGAATTGATTGCCTGTTCCTATTATGTTTTGTTATCATTATTGTTTTTTCCTTTTATTGTTTTCATAATATGGATCTGTTGCTGATTTATTTGAGGATAAGTTTTTTCGTCGAACTATTGAAATTATTCTTGTTTTCGTTTCTCCATAAATAAGAATTTTAAAATTGTGCAGATTTAACATTGATAGAAGAAAAAAACATAAGTCTATTACTCATACCATAGAAAAGTAGCTACATTTAGTTTTTTCATCAACTTGCAAATGATTATGCATCAAGGGTCCGACAGTGATTGTTATCGGTGAACTTTTTTTTCTTGCAATGAATGCATACATTGAAATTGTAAATTCTTTTTTATGAGTTCTTTTTGTTCGATCTCCAATGACAATGTGCTTTAAGGTGTCATAAATTCTAGTTCTTGTCTTTAGCATAATTGAGTATATCAACTGCTATCATAATACTCCAAGCATTTATTTCCATGTTATAATGAATATTTTTTATTCTTCAATTCTATTTTGTTCACCTCTATATTATCCATGCATTATTTTAAATTAAGATAAATACATGTCTCTTGAGAATTGAAACTTTTCTCTAAATCTAGCTATCCCAGTACTGATACAGTTAGTACTGGACGACTTAGTAGTTCAAAAATACAAAAGTATTGAAGAGTGTTTCAAAAGTTTCGACCTGTTTCAGTGAATTGATGATATCAGTAACAAACCTATGTATAGTTAATTGATCGAAATAGATATTTTTGTAGAGGAAAATGAGAGCTATCATCTAAAAAAAAGACACTTTGAAAGACATGAATGTAGTCTTATGTTATGATTATTTTACTAACATTGGGTGAATATTTTCATCTGACATTTTTTGAGGAAAATTTTTAAAAAGTTTTTTTTCATAATAGTTGTATGCTTTTTTCTCCACATTGGCCTTATATATGACTTAGCATTTTAATGGAATAATAAACAACAACTTAATGATTAAGTAGCAAGTGTGTTTGCAGTGACTTTTCTTTTAATGCGTAACTTCATGTGACGACAGTAGTTACTTAACAGAGGTGTCCACAGGGCAGTTTTTTTCACCCTGTCCTGTCCTGTACCCTGCTCTGTCTTACCCCACCCTGTTGGCCAGAAATACTTAGAAAAAAAAACACACCCTGTCCTGCCCTGTCCTGACACGATTACTGGCAGGGCAGGACAGGGTTACCCTGTGAAATCGATTAGGAATTTTCAACTTTTATTTCCTGTAGAGTTCAAAGTTAAAGTTGTTTCGTAAATGTAATATACAGTATTGCTTCATCTAAATTACTGCGCAATATCAGTAGCTAATAGTTCAATCAATAGAACTTCTTAATATCAAGAGAAACAATAATGAAGACATAAAAGTATAATTTAAACCGATATAGTTTACTAATGAACTTCATTTTAAAAAAATGTTCAACAAAATGTTTTGTTCCACTTTTAGGCCCATAACGAAATACAGAAGAACATTTAAAACATTTTATTAAACCATTAATACGTTCAAAATCATTTTTTTATTTTTTAAAGATATATATCTAAAAGAGCTCCACAAAGTTGGCAATACTTTCGTTGAGTTATTATCTTCAACACGAACGTTTTTATCATTTTTTAATAGCATTTGTTTTAATTGTTGTGAAGTATAAAAGTTTGAAGAAGACGAGGTTGAACGACTAGTAAGACAACTTGACGACGTGTTTGATGAAACAGTAGGATCAGAAGTGGACATTAGACAAATATCATCATCCAAATCAAATAATATCGAACTCATATTTGAATACCTTACTTTAGTATTATAAATCACAATAACAAGAAATACGAATACAGACATTCAAAAGTGATTTCATCGACTTTTTTATTTAACCGTATTCGTTTAGATGTACATTCGTAGAAGCAAATACTGTATACTAGATAGCGCCGCTCTCTGCCGTCTAATTTTAATTCGTAGCTGTCGCGAACTAATTAGAAGTTGTTTTTCAAGTCAAAAAGTGAAAAAATTAATTTTCGTATTTCCAAATATGACAGGGTATAAAAGACTCACCCTGCCCTGTACGGTAGTTTGGCATGTGCTATCCTGTCCTGTCCAGGACAGGGTAAAAATTCATTTTTTCATCCTTTCCCTGTTCAGGGCAGGACAGGGTACAGGACAGGGCAGGGTTGCCCTGCCCTGTGGACACCTCTGGTAACTACCAACAGTCCAGAAATACTTTCCACCAATATAAAATAGCAGTGAGATCCTGTGAATGTGCAAGGACATTCCTAGTATTTGTTTTATATTGATTCTTGTTATTTTATTAAAAACCTCCTTTAAGAAGTATCAGCGTCGTGTTCCCAGGAACAGAACGTCAAAGTAATACTCCTATCTATTATTCCAACGTGTTAAATCGTGCTTACTGAACACATTCAAATTTTTAATGACGACAAGCATTGAGATTGTAAAAGCTGCAACGATGCTAATTTTTTTCTTTCATAAAACCATAAACGTATAGCATAGTTTTTAATATAAAATCAACATTGATTTATTTATTTATAGGAATTTCATTGAGTATTTGGAAATGAATGTTTTTATTGCTAATTATTTTAATGATACATTATGCAACAACCTTATGAATAACATATGTTTGTTGACGCTGTTGGTATATGAATAATCTCTGACAAGAAATGAAAATTTCACATGATTGACGAGTAAACTCTGCTGGAGACACCTCCCTATGGAAATACATTTAAAAAACAAAATTGTTCATTTTTTATTCTAGAAATGTTGAGTTTAATACATGTCTTACATTCATCTGTGATTAATACTCGAATCTTATTTATTGTAAACGATAGAAATCCAAATAATAATGAAAGAAAAGAAACATTTTATGTTTACTTTGCATAATTTTTGTTAACAATATTTCTTCATCTTTCACCGAACAGATTTGTCCTTTTCTAACGTAAGTTTTTTGTTTGACAGTCATGATTTAGAGAAAAATAAAGTATGCTCCTGTGACATGATTTCAGTATTTTTCTTTTTTCTTTGTATTATTCACAATACAAATAAAAACTACATCCGTAGAAAATAAATTATTCAAAGAATCGCAATCGTGTTGATGTTTCTTTTCGTCGGCTTCCGATTGACGACAAATGGAATTCAAAGATGAAAGAAATAAAGAGCTTTGGTCATGACAATGCACTTTCTCCAACATCATTTTGTTACATATCTAAAATCATCCACGCTAAGCAAATAGAACATAATTATATAAATTTGCTGGAATGATAGAAGCGGCATCTGTACATGTAATAGAGATCTGTTTCAAAGTGATGCAAATAAAACTTTTAGAAAAATTCTTGAAAGAAAAATAAGTCGAGTATAAAAAATTTGGTAAGTTTCATCTATTTTATTACAGATCGTTATATTTCACCAATCAGACCATTGAAAATGACACAAATTAGTCAGATTTTAAGAATTTTTATATTAATTTTACTTTGTATTATCAAATCAACTCATCAAACTGTTTATTCATGTAATGCAAGTGCATCATGTGGTTGTTCAAGAAATTCTGCAATAGTAAGTCGTATTGTTGGTGGAGAATCTGCTAGTTCAGCTACATGGGGTTCGGCTGTCTCGATTTCTATTGCTGGTAGATATCTTTGTGGTGGATCAATCATATCAATTTCATGGGTTATCACAGCAGCACATTGCGCAGAAGATTTCATAGCATCCCAATTTATTATCTATGCTGGATCAAATACTCGATTTTCTGGTACTCAAACTCGAACTGTATCAAATGTTATTGTCCATTCGCAATATAACTCAATAACATATGAGAATGATATTGCTTTGTTGCATCTGTCCTCTCCGTTGACCATGAGTGATCCTTATGTGAGTTTGATTTGTTTACCATCAATTAGTCAGGCAATACTATCTGCTGGTGAATGGCCATCAGCTGGAACAAATGTAAGATCTCTCTCATTTTGCAATTCAATTTAGGATATTTATCAATAGGTTGTAGCTGTTGGATGGGGTACATTATGGGAAGGTGGTTCTGTATCATCAACACTTCAGCAAGTTACTTTGCAAACAGTAGATTATCGAGCATCGACTTGCAATGAAACAATGCACAATAGATACGTTCAGTTGTGTGCTGGTGTATCAGGTGGTGGCAAAGGTATATTAGTTTAAGCCCCCCCCCCCTCAAAAACCGATCTTATCTCAGGTACGTTCAAATGGGCTGAAATTTGGAGCATATGTTGGGGCTGAAGTGAGGAGGCTGTGGTAAAATTTTCAGC